AGATGGTTTCTTGAAATTTATACATTAGCTGTTAAACTGCCTTAGGTAACAGGTTTCTTACAGGAAGGAAAGTTAGTATCATCACCAATTAATATAATCAAAACAGATTCATGTGCATATAATATTTATATATAATATTATATATCCCATTCTTAATGGAATATATACTTCTTTTTTCTTTCCGTGAATCAGGCGAGCAGTGTAACAGTTGGGAAGGTGTCAGTGTGTGCATGTTGTTTGTTTTATTGTAGAGAGTCATACGCCAACATCAAATTTCCATGAACTGCTGCTGGCAAACGGAGAGTTAAAACCGGGGCGCTGCCAAAACTACATGATAGAACAATATGACGCCTGCAGCTGAGACACACCTGGCACCTGTAAGTTCTGTTTAAACCGCACAAATGACTCGAAGCTTCATAACAAACAAGCAGAACAGAACAATGACATCAAGTGGAGAGAAACAAAGGATAAGACTGCTTAAAGTGATAAACATTGTTCCAAAATCAAATAATTCATAAAAAAAAAAAATCAAGGATGGGGGCGCCGTAAGCGTAGTAGTTAGTGTGCACACCCTATGTGTGGAGGCTGTAGTCCTCCAAGCGGGCGGTAGGGTACACCAGTTCAAGGATTAATTGAAACTCAATTGTTTGTCCCTAAGGACAAAGAAGCACAGATATGTAGTTCCAGTCCAAGCTTTTATTTTCTATATGAAGTCTCAACGGGTTTAGTTCAAACCCTCAGTTCAAACTAATGAAGAGATGAGGCACCCACATGCTGCAGCCAGCTTCATTGTTCAGTTCAGTACGTTACACATTTTCTGGGGCCCCAATCAGCTGTCAGCCTTGTCTGTTGACTAGCAGCGTCTCCGATGGTAGAAAGAAACTAAAGACATTCACTATTACACTTGCAAAGGTTTATTTAAACAGACCTTTACAGATCTATATGACTGGAACTGGATTCTTCTGAGTATTCAAGTCTTTATTATCGACACATATATGTAAACCCTGTGATTGGACCGCTGGATATTTGTATTTCTGGCATTTGCAACATTTCCAGTATCGCTGCCTTTTTCTGAATTCTGCTGAAGGAAGAACGCTACACACCCGATATAATCAACTGCTGCTCAATGTTTATCAGCTCTAACTGCAACATGATACGCTTGGTTTTAGTCGCCGTGGTCTCCTGTGCATTGATAAACCAAATCAGAAAATGGAAGGGCCCTTTCACTGGGTCCTTCAGGGGCCCAACTTTTCCTTTGGGCGGGCCTGGCTCCACGTTGTTTCCCTCTCTGCTGCCATGTGCAAAGCTCTGACTGATGTGAACGGATTTCTGAACGCTCGTGATTAAAATACCTAAAATGCATGTTGTTTGTTTTGGAGCGTATGCTGGGTGCAGACATCAAGAGATGCCAGAACAAATTAAAAATAAAAACCAACATCAATTTCCTATGAACTGCTGCTGGCAAAAGGGAGAGTAAAGACCGGAGCGCCGCCAAAACTACATGATAAAACACCTGCAGCTGAGACACACCTGACACCGGTAAGTTTCACCTCGTGATTAAAATTTTGATGGAAAGGATTTAATGAATCGCAAAGAGAACCTTTCGTGACAGGAAAGCATTTATTTTGTTGCCTGAAGTTGCACTAATGAAACTTGACAGAAGTATTTGTGTGAAGAGTAAAAATAAAGATGGGCTGAAGCGTCCTGCTATCCTACTGCCACACCTGAGAAAACATTGTGTGGAGCGTCTATTAAAGCGGACTGCAGGATTCAGGCTGCAAATGAGCGTTCTGCTAGAAAACAACAGTGGGAGTCTGAATTCCCATTGAAGTGAAGAATCTGCTAATACTGAAGCCCTCTTAGAGACAGAACCTAATTTCTCTTTTTTTTTTTATATTAGCTAAACCAGGATGTTGAGCACATTTGGGTCAGACACTTTGTTCTTTCAAAACCCTGGAATGACTTTCATGAAGGCTGCAGACAAAAAGAGACACAAACAGAAGAAAGCATTCCTTCTCATAAAACTTGGCATCTCGTCAGCTCACCCTAATAACTGTACACAAAGGTAACCTGCTTGTTAAAGTTGACAAGTACACACCATAAATATATGAAATACTTTTAGATACAAAATTTCACTGAGCCTCTTCATCCAAATAATCAGTGAGTATGTTCTTCTTCTTCTCTCTAGTCCTTGACTAAAACAGTTTTTATACACAAGGGTAAACACAGCTCTGACAACAACACAGCCAGCGGGACTCGAGCTTCTCACTCATTGTAGACAGTCATGACTCAGAGACACATTTACACAGGAAAGGCTTGATTTATGATTTATTTATGTGTAGCATGTTGCACATTCTTCCTTTACGGTAATGACTGTCATTAGTAAAGGAGAACTCGGGGATATGTGAGGGTTATAAAGTAATCAGATAAGATAAGATAGTAGTAATTCTTTTCTGCTCATCGTGGTTATTCAAAGGACTTTTTCCAGATCAGCATCACACTCAGCTGATAGTTAAGAATGTGGAGCATGCTTGTGTGTGTGTGTGTGTGTGTGTGTGTGTGTGTGTGTGTGTGTGTTATACTGTCTGTGTGCATGTATTTGTTGTGGTTTCCTTGCCGTCATTGTGCTAAGTAAAGACCGAACACCTGCTGCCCAGGATTTACCAAAAGGCTACAGAGACGAGATACTGTTCATACACTCTATGGCCGAAAGTGTGTGGACACTAATGTTGTAGTCAAGACCATAGTAACCGAGTCCAAGACATAGACCAGAGTGCTCAGAGATGGAGTCAAGACCAAGACCATAAATATCACTGAAAAATCATCATCTTATGTGCAGTGGTTGTCTTGATCGGTTTTGATTTTAAAATCCGGAGTCCGCCCAGTCTGAGACCGAGATAAGACCGAGTAAAAATGCTTTCGATTCCAAGGCGAGACCTGCAAAAAGTGGTCTTGAGACTAAGACCGGTGTCAAATACTACAACACTAGTGGACACCACAAAAAAACGAAAGAACAAGGGCTTGAAAACGTCATAATCTTTAATCTATTCTCTGACTAAACCTTCACACTTCTGGTTTGAGGTTTTCCACAGAGTGGTGTTTTATTTTTGGGTTTTTTTGGTGCCATTATTGTCGAGATAGGAAAGGTTGGATTTGAACCCTGGTCGCCGGCTTGGAGGACTCTGCACATGCGGCATGTGGACTCTCATCCAGCCTACCGGGACCCTGACTTAAAATATGATGTGTTTTATGCAGATTGTTTGCAATATGGGTTAATGTGCATGTTGTGTTTTATTGGTTTGCATTGGTTTGTGCCTTAGTGTTTTCATGTGGATTTTGTCTGTTTCTATTTATAGATTCTGCTGTAGAGACGGTCTGCAGCACTTTGAGTCCAAGACAAATCTCCTCAAGCGGACATTAAAGTGTAACATGTTGTATAGTATATCAGTAAGAGACACAGAGATACAAAGTCTTGTCCGGACCTCTGCTGAAACAGACGGTCACAAATAAAAATGCAGCAGAGTGATGACGACTGTGAAGTTGTGAGAAAATGAAGACAGGTGTCACCTTGTATTGCATATTGAGCTGCTGCCCCCTGCTGGTGACTGGTAGAACTCACAATCTGTTCTTAGACTTTCAAGACAGATTAAAGGTATACCTTCATGCCTCAAGTTTTTTTTAAATCTGGAATTAATCTACTAAATCATAAATTAAATAATCATCAGCAACATCAGAGGACACTTGCACTGAGAAGGGGACACAGGAAAAGCTGGCCACACACTCGAATATTTTCAAATCTTAACTGATTTTATAAACGTGGGAGATCAGAGCATAGACATAAGGACAGACACAAGATCTCACAGAAATCAGAAGAAAATCAAATAAGGACAATAGATATTGTCAGCTGTTCTCCTGCTGTGTGTTGTGAAGCGAAAAACAGAAAATGAGAATATGGATGAAATCCCGACTGAGACGACGGGTTATGTGCAGTTTTATTTAATTTGCAGCCCGAGCTGATGGTTCGTTTTCAGACGCTTGGTTGATGTCTCCTTGCTCTCAATGGCTGCTTTGGGTATTCCGTTGGAGGCGATCCAACCAGGAATATTTACGATTGGAGATCGGGGAGGCTCTGACACAATGGGGAGCAGTAAAATAATAGTAGTGACACCAGACACTTGAGGATTCTTTGGAGGGGGCAAATCTGGCATTAAATCATCTAGTGTGTTTAACAAAGACACAACCTCAGTCTATGGATACAACACTTCATAGGCTACAACAATACAATTACTCAATTACTGAATAATTATTAAAGACAATCCACTTCTACAGTGTTTTTGAACATATATTTGTGTAACCTGAGTGTCTACTGACCCACAAAATGTGAAATAAACCCATCCAGTCCTTTGTTTCGTGGTCTGCATAAGTCTTACAACAAAGAGAAAAATGCTCTGTTTCAAATTTGTTCTCCTTGTGACATCACAATGGGATTCTGGTCAAAAAAAAAAAAAAAAACTCCCCTCCCCTGATATCTCCACCCATGGACTCCACCCCCAGCCTAGAACAAAACTTTTGAGCAAGTCTGCCATTTATATTCTCACTAGCGAAGGAGTGATGTCTACCACGAAAACTTAGGGGGGGGGCTCATTGCATTTAAAGAGACACACACACCAAAACGGAGCGTTCTGAGAGAGCTGGTTATTACAGGGTCACAAACCTCCTCTGGTGCTTGATTCATGTTATATTTTGACCAAAGCACAGCACAGATGTTTCATTTAGACCACAGGGGACTGTTTAAAAATGTGGAGAAGGGGGGATAGTATGTCCTCTTGAAAGTTTGACATTTATTTTTTATTTATTTTCCACCTGGCTTAAGCTGCTTTCAAATTACACAAACTCTGCTCCTTGCTCACTTTACCCTAGGGGGTCGATCAAAACTCCGCCTGCGGCACAGGTGTACGTCATGAAAATTCAAGAAAAACATACAATTTCTTCCAGACAACAACAGTTTGCAACCACAGCCGTATTTAATAAAAGCAACAGGAATATTTCCTCACAGCACCTGACAATAAATCAACATTAGTATCCAAACTGTAGTCCAGTGTTTCATTGTGGAATTAATTAGACAACAAATCTTATCATGTTTGCTTCATTCTAAAAACTGCTCAGACTGCTTGTGGTTAAAATAAAATGCAGCACAGTTGGAATACGAACCCAAGTCCTTCTAATAGTTCAGATGAGCTCAAATCAACACAAGTAACCAGTTAATTACAGAAACTGAGTCACTCTGATCTAATGTATTTACATTATTATTATTAGATGCTGACAGTGAATCAGTGCATGTGAACATATTCATAATAGAGGTCTCGGTCTAACCGGCTCCTCTGAGCAGCATGTAAACAGCACTGATGGTGATGGCGGTGGCCGTGTATGTAAACACGGCGCTATAAAGCGTGTTGGTCCTGATTCGTTCTCCCAGCGTCCTCTCGGTCTCCTCCAGACTTCTGATCACCGCCTCAGACTCCAGCTGGTCCCGTCTCTCTGCGGTCTGTGGTGCTGCTACCTGCAGCTGAACAGCCTTCGGTTCATCCTGTATTTCAGACTTTGTTTCAGCCTGTGGTTTGGTCTCCAGCAGCCTCCTCACCAACGATAAATCGGCCGCCACTCTTCCCAGTCCCTGCTCCAGTTGTCCCAGTTGTGGCGACAGGGACTCCAGGAGGGACTCTGTCTTCTTGCTGCCTGTGTGGAGGTCTTTCAAGGCAGAAAGAGGCACGGCGGGTGCTTCTGAGGTCTGAAGGACGATGTCTCTCTGTGTGTAGGCGTCGTTCACAGCGACCCTCAGATTGTCGATGAGTCCGCCGAGCTCGTCCTGCTGGGAGCGATGGTTTCCAGCCTGGACTTTGAGGGCTTCCTGCAGACTCTCCGGACCTTTCTGAGCCTCCAGCAGCAAAGTCTTCAGCTCCTACAGATGAACAAAGTGTCCAGGTTATGTAGTGAAACAGAACCATCTTCAAAATGTCAGCCCTGTGATTGACTGGTGAACAGTCCAGGGTGTGACCCCGCCTCTCGCCCAATGACAGCTGGGATCGGCTCCAGCCCCCCCCCATGACCCGGAATTGAAAAAAGCGGTATAGATAATGGATGGATGTAAGTGTGGACTTCTGGCTTACTGTTGTGGTCATTTATTGCACGCTTTTGGAGTTTTATTTTACATTTGTTCATACATCGATTGTCTGGCATTATACTTTTCTAAATAGATTTGCCCGTTTCCAGGAGATGTGATGTCACAGTGGTGTGGCCTATTCCTCCTTTTTATTCCATTTCAAGCCCTCATGACCACACACACACTCAACCAGAGGCCACCTGATGTCAGTTAAGTTCATGAGGCACTATGACAAAGACCACATGAGGTTTGATTACGTGAAGCTAATGATTAACTATTCATTTTTATAGCATGCTAGCATTTCCCTTTAAGCTTTTACCCAAGGTTCAGCTGAGGCTGACAGGAATTAGTTTGTGATCTTGCCACTATGGAGAAACAAACCTAAGTATTTGACGACCAAAAACGTTAAAGTGATAACCATTCAGACTGTGGGAAACAGTAAGAAGCAGATGGACCGATGAGCATGCAATAATCTGACAGCTCTCATCACGCCCCCTCACCTGAAGGCGGACCCGGTTGATGTATGTTGATCCCATGACTCCGATCAAAGCTCCGAGCACAGAGCCGATGATGGACCAGTTCTTGGTGCGTTCTGCCCTCGTCCTCTCCTTCTCGTGGCTCTCTCTGACGCCCGCTGAGAACAACGCGAACTTCTCCCTCTCCGAGCCCTCTGCGTTCTCGTAGGCCGTCCGCAGACGACGCTCCTCCTGCGGGAAGGACAGAGCACGGAAGTGTGTCGCATTATAGATCACGCCTGACCTCAGACAAGGTCAATATCTACATGACAAAAACTTGCTTGTCTTCAAGAGTTGAGAGACGGTAGCCTCAGCTAACCTGCAGCAGTTTGTGCTCCTGTGTGGCCAGCTCCAGGTAGTGAGCCTCCTCCCTGGAGACTCGGTCCAGTCGGTCTCTGACCTCCTTCAGCCTGACCTGCAGGGCCTCCAGACCGATGTGAGCCTCACGTACCATCCCTCTGGCCACCATGAACGCTGCTTCAGCCTGCAAGAAACAACACGACTGAAATGCAGGCGCTTTTGTCCTCCATGACTTGCTTGAAGTTCTTCTTGTTATGTAAAAGAGGAAGAATGGGAAGCTCAGAGTTTTCAGTTTACTGGCTTTTTTTCCCCCACTGACTATCCACATGCATTCAAAGCATCCTGGATCTGCTGACCTCTGTGACCTTGGTCTGGGCCACACGGACCTCGTTGAGCCCGACAAACTCCTCATATCTCTCCCACCAGTAGTTGACCGTAACGGTGGCCGTCTCAGCCGACTTTTGACCCCACTGCCGTCCAACCTCACCAGCATACTGAAGGGAAACGAGAGGGGAAAAAAGAGGGCAGTTTTTTTTTTTAACACTTGGTTCTTTTTGTAGAATCAGACAATAATGATGTTTTATCACAACAGTATTGATACGATAACATGTTGGAAGTGATGTCTATAAGTCTGAACGAGGGATTGTTGTACCTGTAAAGCAGCCAGAGCACGCTCCTTCACCACTTCAGATCCGCCCTTCCCGTCGGGGGGGTTAGAGTCAGCTGGCTGAGGGGGGCCCGGCTGATGGTGAGCACTGTAGGTTCGGACCAGAGTGACTCTGCCAGACCAGGTGTGTCGAGACACACAGCATGAACCATGAGCCCAGAGACAGATCCGAGCTCCTCTGTACCTGATACGAGATACTGTTAATCATCTGCTTCAATGCATCTAGCCGAAAAGGCTCGGGGACAGGAGGAGACATTGCTTACCTCATTTTGAGGTCAGATGTCTGAAGTGCAGCTTTAAAAAACCGTCAGAGATTCACTTCCACAGTAGATACTGATCCAACGCCGGAGCAGACATCTGTGACAACAGCAAGCAATCCTTTCACTGCTATTTCTAAACAGAAGTGGACATCTGTGGAAACTTAAATCATATTGTTTCGAGAGAGTCTCAGCAAAACGAGTTTCAAAGGATTGTTTTGTACTCTACTGTATTGCAACTTCTTGAAATATTTCGTACACAGTTTCAGCAGTCCAGCAGGAATACATTTCGAAACAAGTTCATTTAATTCAAACAAAAAAAATAAAAATGATAAAGACATTTGTGCTCTACACACTGCCTTACAAAGACAACTTTCAATAAAACTAAAAACATGCTCCTGCATTTGTTCCAAAATAAACTGAAAAATAAATGTTATACCACTGATGTCTCTGCAAAGAAATGTAAGTAAAAAGGTTACACACACACAACTAATATGCACTTTGTACACACACACACACACAGTGGTGAAGGATTACCTAAAGCCACATGGTGTCATAAGGAAACAACTAACAAACCCTGATAACTTAAACATCACATAACCAGTTAAACTCGATGACGTCATTATAACTTACCTGTCAATTTCCTACAAGGTTAACCAGCTAACTGTTGTGTCCTTATAACAGCTTCATTCACTAACACCTCCACAATGCTATGAGCAACCAGTTCACTTCCTTTTTTTAACAGGAACACATGTTTGTCATATCGTGTGACAGTTTCAATCATAAAATACAACATCAAAACAAATATACCCGTTTTCTTCACTGGTGTCGGTGCACACTTGTCACACATTTCCTTTGGCTAAAGTGTTAGCATCCTAATGTCAAATGAAAGAGCTACAAGAGTTTCATTTAATTCCGTTCAGGCGCATCGCGGTAGTACTATAACCGGTGTTATGTCGAGAACTGCATCCCTGCCAAAAATAAATAAATTGCATGCACGCCGGGGAAGTGTTGAGAAAACGGTATAAATCTTATTTGTGGGTGCATATCTTGGAAGTATGCGAAGTTTATACTTGATAAATGTTGTGTCCTTATTATTCCGTAGACTAGATAGAAGACTAATTTCCAATAGCATGCGTAAACACGACCTGCAAACAGTATGTCACTCAGAAGTGTGTGCAAATTACGGGAGCATAGTATTTTAAGGATGGATGCAAAATTCGGCAGTGTGGAAATGTGTGTCTGCCATATTTATTTTTATTTTTTTATTTTTTGCATTATTCTGCGACGCGCACGCAATTTTTCGGCAGGCATGCATTTCTCTGCATAACACCGGTGCGGATCGTTGTTGGGGTCCTTCCTTCCAGCGCAGATCAAGAAAGCTCACCGGCAGCCATCGCGTCATAAACACGTTTTATTTCTCTCTTTAGAAGCTTCTGTGACGAGTTTTAAAACATGTCTGGAAGAGAAGGTGAGACCCGCTTTCACGGCATGTTCATCTGAAAATCCAGCGAAGCGTTAAAATCCGAGCTGACAGAAATATAACTCCGTGAAGTTTGTGCAGCGTGGAGGAGTTAGCTCACGGCTGCTTCAGAGAGCGCACTTCATCATAAATCTCTCATATTTAGTGTTATTTGGTTTGTGTACATAGAAAAAGACACATTTTCCGCATCGTTTCGTGTCACTGTGATGATAATTTGTCTTCCATCAGTAGATATGTTAAACATAAATCTGTGATTTAATGTGATTCACTGGATTCTGGTTTAATTAAGGCCATGTTGTTCCAGTCTGATGAAATACCAAAACATGTTTGTAGATTTATCAAATGTAGTAAAAAGGTGGTGTTGTGCTGGTTACTTCTGAAATGCAAACATTTCTGTTTCACGTTCAGTGATTTAAATCAAGCTTTTTCTTTAGGCACTGATCTAACACATGATGTGTTTATTGTCCTCAGGAGGCAAAAAGAAACCACTGAAGGCCCCGAAGAAAGCTTCAAAGGAAATGGATGACGTAAGTGTGCCCTTTTAGTCCTTTAAAACTATTACATTACTTGCATTAATGTAACCAGGGCTGTCAACTTTTTTTAAATTGAAACAATATTCAGCTTTCTTCCTGTCACAGATACAACAAATTAAGGTTAACAGATATGCTGTGTCATGCAAATCAGACAATGACACACTGGGTAGTTCAAAGTATTGCTGAGCTTCTAGTTAGACCAAAAAACTAGGACAATCTTACCAAGCTATATGATACATATATATAAAAAAAGGGTAGGTATAAGGCTAAGCATGACATGGGGGTTCCCCTGCAGTTTGGTCACATGAAATTAGAAGTATTAATAATAATGATAGTGAAATATCAAACACTGACCTGGCATATGGTTGTCCTTTTTCTTCGAAAGCAATCTCATGTGGCTGTTCATGGCCTGTCAGCGCTGTAGGCACCATGAATTTACTGCACACCTTGCGAATGGACTTACTCGTCTACAACGCAGACATTTACAGGTGTGAAACAGTGGGTGAAACATGTTGTGGCAGATGGCAGCAAAAAAAAAAACAACAGCAGACCTACGACTTGTTTTCAGAGTCTCTTTATTCTTGCGGTTCGCTTCAAAGGAATGACATCAGCAGCGGTGCGAACTCTTGCCGAAATGAGAGCAGTGAAAAAAAATATTTGATGTGATTTCAAAGTGTTCCTTTATTTTGGTTTGAGCCGATGTCGTACAGCTGCTGCGGCTAGTCGTGACTGGCTGAATTGAGACATCAAAATAATATTTTGCAAAGCTCTCGAGATGCCTTTAAAAACACACGAAACGAATAAGAAAACGTTTCTTAACATAAACACACATACCTGAAAAGGGGGAAATCGACGTCTCTCTGCCACCTCAGTCGAGAATGCTAAGTTGTGACAACGTAACAGCGGTCTCTGGTTCTGGTTCCGACGGCGCGAGATCCGAGCTCCACCCCCTCGCTGGCTTTGAAAGCTTAACTTATCGATCACGGGTGGCGTTTGTCACTCTAAGCCGAAGATCAACAGGTAGGATAGATAACAGAATAGATTTTTTATTTTGTTTTTGCTGAAGACGGACACTTCAGCGTGAGAAATCGGGGGTGTGGCGTGAGAGCGTGTGAAGCCAATCAAATGCGTGTGTCTCACGGTCAGTGCGTGAGCATTGGCAGCTATGTGTAACTGAAGATCGTGAAGTTGATGTGACGTTAATGCAATGTTGATGTTGTGTTAGGCTACACAAAGTCAATATCAGACCCGACACGGATATTAGATCAGATCTGTCCCATCTCTAGTTTCTGAGCTTTTTGGCTACAGTGTGTTTGCAATGTGTCACTCTTGCCAATAAATCCAAAAAGCTGTTGTGGTTTTTTTTTTTACCACAAAATGAACATCGACTATTCTGAGGGTAGCTGCGATAGCTAGCTTATCTGATGGCATCAAAATGTTGCGAAATCATTGTTATTTTATCCATTGTTTAATGAAGCTCCTCCAAGAGCAACATAAAAGAGATGTGATACCAATAGTTTATTTAAAGGATCGTAAAATGTCTGTGTGCCTGCAGGATGAGCTCGCCTTCAAGCAGAAACAGAAGGAAGACCAGAAAGCGTTGGAGGCGTTGAAGACCAAAGCTTCTGGAAAAGGACCTCTAGGTATGACCAGAACTTTCATATCATCCTGTGTGGAAAGATCATCTTGATGCATTAATGATGTTCTTTTTTGTGCCATTAATGATGTGGAAAGTGTCAAACAGGGTTCATTCTTCTTGTTGATACAAGGTGTAAGTACTGCTGTAGATATGAGGATTCACAACCCTCGGACCACCACTTCAAAACAAGCTTTGGATTTAGGGGGGGGGGCCCGACCGATATGGAATTTTCTGGGCCGATACATATCCACATATCTTATCCGATATCTTTATTAGATCTATGAAATCTGTAGAGATAGATATACACGTTTGTTGCGGTGATCTCTCTAATTCAGTTATCAGACACTTGAGGAAAAGATTTATAATGAAGACAAGATGGTCACTCAACTGGGAAGAAACTGCGCATGTATGTGCATTCATGCTGTCACTTTTTGGAGAAAAAAAATCAACTAACAAATGTAGAATATGACGTGTAACGTTCAAACCCCGCCAGCCGCCGCATGCTGCTCAGACACAAAACATTTCACTTAAATTTTAATTTTACCGTTGCAATAATGAGCCTTTAAAGCAAACAGCCTGTTGGCAATACAAAAGGACTGAAACTTTCTAATATTTGCCAAAAAACACAGATTGGGATCGAGTTCAGCTCTCTCTATTTATTCACGATATTACCTTCTGACGAAATCTGATTTTCAGAGGGTACAGAGGTTTGGGTACACGCAAATATTTGCAGGTTTGTAGCGAGCCTGTGTCTCTCCACCAAAGCAGTGTGCTGCTGTCTGCAGAGAGTCTCCCTCATGTAAGTTTGCATCTCCTGAAGAGCGCCCTGGCCCGTTGCTTTTGCCACAACATTACTGTCTTCTTTTACCAATGGTCAAGTTACTCTGTGGGTGCGCTCTGCTTGTCACTGTGGAGAGTGATGATGTTTTTTTTTTGTAATCCTTAAAGCGCCCTTTGCTGGTGAAAGAAATTCTAGTGTAATACAATCATACTGAAATTAAATGATTTTTGATTGGTCAATAAATCTAGAAATATCGGTGCACATCTGCGATAAAACAGCCGATACCTGGATGTGCTAACATCGGCTGATATTATGGGCTGGCAGATTAATGGTAGGACTCTAGATGTAGAGCCCTATGAAGGATTTATTCAAATGTTCTCTGTGAAATTTGACGGATAACAAATACTGTGTCCCCTTAAATTTCTCTGACAAACTGTGGTTTTCTTAACTCACTTAAATTTGACCGTTTCTTGTCTTTTCCCTTTTCCTCTAGCGAGCGGCGGCATCAAGAAATCAGGCAAAAAGTAAATTCTGAATCCAGAAACAGTTGTGTATTTGCTCCCCGGTTTTGTTTTCTTTGTCTGTGATGTGTGTATGCTCACTGAGGAGACTTCAGTTTGTTTTGTTTAAAAAAATGAAACCCCATGCAAACTGTAAAACCAGCCCTGGTGTCTTGACTGTTGGAAAAAGAACGGGAAATGAATTTAAGGACGTTACACACATCTAAACTCATGACATGTCATCAGAGGTTATATTTTGTTTTCCTTTTCTTGTGTTATTGAGACCGACTGTATCACTCAGAGATACATCTATAAATCCCGCTCAGAAATGTTCTGCAGATTTAGATATGTAAACTGTGGATATCCACATTTTCTTCTGTGTCCTAAACACAAAACTAATTTTTCATTTTGTTGTATTGTAAACAGGGAGATACTAATAAAGTTTTTGTAATGACTGCTTGTTATTGTCATGCTTTGTAAGTCAAGAGTTTCATCCACCATCAAACTGTTGAAAGTCACGATGACGTTCTGATTCAAATCATTAAGCTGTGAACAGCTCTTATCAGCCTTTTTTCGGCCAATTCTACATGTTGAATCGGTGATCAGTGAGAAGAATCTCTCTGATTGGCTCTTGGGAGGTTTCATTTATCTCCAGCTTTCGACTCAGGTTCAGGAAAGCCCCTTGAGCATGTCGCTGTAGTATCCATGCTTTCACCCATTAGTGCGGTTTCTCCTTATTTGTCTCCTCCGCCTCTTTTTCCACTAAAAGACCAAGAGCTGACAACACCAGCGCCATTTTCAACTTTTTATCAGACATTATTCTCCATTAGTAGGTTACCTATAATACGAGTGGTGAGCGACAGCCGTGTGAACGTGGTCTTCTCGTATCATAACAACGGACTACCGCCGCCTGCTGGCATGGAAAGTTATTTCCTCTCGCATGCAGAACGTACGTGGTGGTTGGCCGTCGGCTGTAGTCTTTGCGGTGTGTTCTAGTGCAACTTTTAGGCCAAGACAAAAGGCTACAGGGCCTTTATGTAGCCCCGCCCACTTTACCCACTTCTGCTCTTATCTCAATTGAGTGATCACAACGTTTGGACGAGAGAGTCTATATTTAGCGTTCAAATGTTTCCCCACTTGTTAATAACTTCTAAGCAAAACTGCTGTTTTCAGCCTTTTATTGTGAGCGTGTTAAAGCTTGCTGAGAGCAGAGATACATGAAATAACAGAAAAATATGCAACATATCGATTTCAGCCTCTGAAGAGAAATGATTAGAAAAATATGACAGGTTTGATAGCTCTGAATCTGTGTTTAAAAAAAAAAAAGATGCTGAAATAAAATCAAACCCAAACCTGTCTGTTCACATTTTGTTTGTTTTTAGAATCAAATCAGTAATCATTAGTTGTCAACAAGAGCAAAGACAGACAGGTTATAAGATAATTCAGTCAAAACGCAAACTTCAAGTTCATATCAGGGAGGGTTATATGCAGTCATTCAGGAAATAAAAATATGTACGCAGGGCGGGTTGGTGAAGCTCACACTCTAGGTACATAGACTGCAGTGACCCCAGGTTTGACCCCAACCCCACAGGCCCTTTCACGCCTCTTTCCTTCCAATGTTTTCTGTCTATCTTTAGTTGTCATCACATTTAAGGCAAGACGGTCTAAAATAAAGTATCTTTAGAAAGTAATTACAATGGCGACCCAGATTTCGCCTGAGGTAAAGTTGTATCAGTCCAGAAGCTGCTGTGTCTGCGGTAATATGTCAGGTTCAAGGTGTGAAAAATTAGAGCTGTCAAGTTGACCATTTGTGGTTCTGTGCATCATTCAGTTTAATGTCCTTTTGGAAGTTCACTACAGATCTGAACTGGTCCAGTTTAATATTCGTGCTTGTGGTCCATCTTGGCCATCTTCGCCCGGAGGAACTGGATCTCCAGGCCGAGCTTTTCTCTTTCCAGCAGCAGATTTCCTCTCTTCAGCTCCAGCAGTTCTTCGTCAAAGAACACAAGCCGAGGCTGAAGCGGCGGTACAGGATCTGCTGAGGAGAAGAAGCATAATCCACTGAGACCTGCAGCTACATCAACACAGTTATGGAAGGCTAGTCTTTTAAAGAGGACATATTATCCCCCTTCTCCACCTTTTCAAACAGTCTCCTGTGGTCTAAATGAAACATCTGTGCTGTGCTTTGGTCAAAATATAACATGAATCAAGCACCAGAGGAGGTTTGTGACCCTGTATACACCAGCTCTCTCAGAACGCTCCGTTTTGGTGTGTGTGTCTCTTTAAATGCAATTATTCAAGAAGAGTAATGCACATATACAGTCAGGTAAACAAAAAACAATATTACAATGTAAATCAAGTAAAAGGCAGATTAAATAACTGAAAAACATCCAGTAGGCTACATAAAGGAAAGTACAAATGAAAGACAGTAATATAAAGTAAAATAAACCAATACAGACGCATTTAAATAGTGAAATCATTATTTAAATTGGGGCGCGCTGGTGGTGCAATAGTTAGGGCACGCGCTGTATTGAGGCTCTCATCTTGAGCAGGAGGCCTGGGTTCGGCTCCACCCGTGGCCTCCTTCCGCATGTCATTCCCCTCTCTCTCTCCCTGGTTTCCGACTCTATCCACTGTCCTATCTCTGCATTAAAGGCACAAAAAGCCCCCAAAACTTAACCTAACCCTAACCCTAACCCTTTAAATAGAGGGGGAAAGGTTTTATAATAATGCAGACATTTTTTATATTTTCTGTTGTTAATTAAAAGTAGTGATTTCAGTCGGGACTTTAACTCTAGATTAAAAATTTATTAAATTAATCCACGCTCGTTTGTTTTGATTTGGAGGCGCACGTGATGTGACGATTTACGTTTAATTTCGCACTGCATTGTGGGTGGTAAAATACAATTAATTTCCTGAAAGCACGCATCCGATCCATACTGCATAAAACCTGCAAGTTAGTATCCATACTGAAATGTTCAGTATACTGCGCGGACCCTAAAATGCATACTGAATGACCACGAAAGTTCAGCATACTGAAACTCCATACTGAAAAGTACGTACAGCATACTGAACTGTGGCTATTCGGAAAGGGCCCTTCTCTAGTGAGAATAAGAATGGCGGACCTGCTCAAAAGTTTTGTTCTAGGCTGGGGGTGGAGTCCATGGGTGGAGATACCAGGGGAGGTTTTTTTTTTTTTTTTACCATAATCCCACTGTGACATCACACGGAGAGCAAATTTGAAACGGAGCATTTTTCACTGTGTTGTAAGACTTATGCAGACCACAAACAAAGGACTGGATGGATTTATTTCACATTTTGTGGTTCGGTAGACACTCAGGTTACCCAAATATATGTTCAAAAACACTGTACAAGTGGATTTTTTATAATATGTCCCCTTTAGAGGTTAGCCTAGCCTAGCATATACCGGTAGTCTGGACACATGCGAAAAGCGTGCCTCAGTCCAGTGGGAACAAAATCTACCTTTTGGCACCTTTTAGCTGGAGGAGGATCTGAAGTTTAAAGGGTTTGTGTGAGTGACTGTTTATCGACCAGGAACAGTTACAGCAACTCTGTCTGATAAAAAATAAAATTAACTGTAAATATTAAGGAATGTAGCCTGAGTGACGTCATCTGTCTGCTCCTGCAGGGGGCTTTGGAGGCCTCCTTGCTGGAAATCCTGTCTCACCCTAACTTTTAGTCGACCTAATAACAGGCTGAGAGCAGGAGCTGAGGCAGGTTTTAAACTTCCTAACAAACAGTAACACCGCGCCCGCCTGTCAATCAGGTTCAGCTACACGCCTAAAATCAAAACAGATGAGTCATCAAAACATTCACACAGCGTTTGTTCAGTCTGTATTTATTCACAGTCTTTAAATCAGTCTTCTGCAGGCAAAAAAGATGCCTTATGATTCTCAGCTAACCTCTCACTCTTCAAAAACTTAACAATATTTTCAGGATTATTAAGAACAGCAGTCCTGGTAGAAGTAATTTTAAGAATGAGATGAGTTGTTTACCATCCTCTTCAGGTGGCGTCTTTGTCACAGACTTCATCTCCACCTCCACGGGGTAATGGTCACTCACATCCAGAGCCTAGAAAATTAAAAATCATGAATTCATGACAAGCTGTTTGTAACAGTGATCTTTAATGTAAGTCTGAAATTTTGTATCAAATCACAAATTATGATGCCAATAACAGTTGGCTTCATGACTGAGTAAGCCAGTTAGGTTTCAACAGGTGTGCAAATTTCCCTACGTATGCAGAAATATTCCAAACAAAGTGGAACAGCTGTAACTTTAGTTTTGCTGCAACATCGACGGAAGGTTTCCATGGCTCTGAATGGGACAGTCAAACTTGGTTAAACTTTAAACAAAGGGATTGTAGCGCTTAAAGGCAGGGTTGGTCATTTTCAAAAACTAGCATGATTTTTGAAAGTAGCATTCCCTCAGTGCTCCGTCTGCACCCACCCCCCTCCCCTCTGTGCTCCCTCAAAAGCCACGCCCCCTCACTTACATGAACGAAAAAAGTGGATCTGGAGAAAATTACCAACCCTGCCTTTAACTCTTTAAATTCCATCCCTGTGAATAATGATAGCATGGACTCAATAACACACCTGCTCCTGGCTCAGTTTATATGCTTGCTGGAAGTTGAAGGGTTTTGCAGAGTTTGGCACCACAGCCTGAAGCATGTCATCTCCATAAACAACTATCCTGAAAACACAAAGGTACAGTTTATGTTTTACTTTTTGAGCCACAGTCGTCACTACAAGTACTCTCTCTTTGAAGAGAAACTAGCCATCAACTTAAAAAACAATAAATAATATCTTAGGCCTGTCAGCATTAACCAGTTAAATGCGATTAATTAAGGTCTGCACGCTATTTTGTTTATAACAGTTTAATGTGTTCTACCTGTCGTATGTGTGGTCGTTTTTGTTGTTGGCTGTGGTGTCGACGTCGTCCGCGATCAGCCAGTGGAAGTTTTTGTCACTGCGGATACGGATGCCTTTCATCTCCTTCTTGGAGACGTACAGACCGTCTGCATTGAAGTCGCCCAGAATCATCACGTTCTGGAGGTGGAAGAGCATCAACACAACGTGTGAGAACAGGGTCCAAACTGTATTTGTCTGTGTTCTGATGATGTCATGTCCTTACATCAGTCCTCCACTTCCGCTTGACGTGCTGGAAGAGGTCGTAGAGCTCGTCCAGCTCCTTCTCCGAGTCCTCTGGTTTAGTGTGAACGGGGATCAACACCAGGTCCTTCAGGACTGTGGTGAGAACACACACACACACACACACACACACACACACACACACACACACACACACACACACACACACACACACACACACACACACACACACACACACACACACACACACACCGATACCTTATTATTCAGACAGATGCAGCAGAAAACAAGCCCACTGCCGTTGGTGCCATGTTTCTTCATTAATT